GCTCCGGCGGGGGTGGGGGGGGGAGACCCAGGATCTCTCCCACCCCACAGAGCTGTGGCCCGGGGCGGGGCAGGGGAGGAGGCGGCGGGAGCCCGGGACTCCTGTAACGCCCGGCCCGGAGCTGGAACCAGCCGCCCCCGCGACCGAGCGGAGAGGTGTCACGTTACTGGAATTTGAGGGAAGCAGCCAGATCATGGCTGCACCCATAGGTGGGGGTGCTGGCCCCAACAATGGTATAAAAGGGGGCCATGTGGGGTGTTGAACAGGAGCTCACTGTCTGCTGATCCTGTGAACGCTGGTCACGAGAGTGTAGAATGTCAGTGTGTGGAGTTAGGAACCTGTACTCTGCGTGGATACTGAATATTTCTCTGCATGTGGTTGAGCAGGCTGCAGTCGGGGGGCAGAGAGGACAGGTCCCTTGGCGCCCAGCAGTTCAAAGGGGCCCCGGGGCTCCTGGCCACCCTCCCTGCTCCTGCAGCAGCCAGAGCCCCATGCCCCTGAAATCCCCCTGAGCCCCGACGGCTGGACTCCTCCTTTCCCCTGCCTGTCCTCAGGCAACCTGGCCCCTTCTGTACCCCGTGACCGGTGGCGCCTATCGCCCAAATGGGGTGATGGCAGCGAGGCCGCTGCTGGGTTTGTTTAGCAGCATTTCCCGTCCTTCCTGCGTCTTCCCGCCCGCCCGGTGCTAGGAGACACCCAGCTGAGACGCTGATTCGATTTTGCCCCCCACTTCCGTCTTGTGTCCCTGCTCCCTGCTATTGCAGCAGCACTTGTACAGCAGCTGGGTGCTCCGGCAGGCGGGACCGGCTGACGTGTGGTGAGGGTGTTGCTGGTGCAGGGGGCCGGGAGACAACTACTCCGGTGGCGGGGGCTTCCACATGGGCGGGAGGGGGCCAGGGTCTGTTCTTGTGGCTGGGGCTGGGAACGGGTCCTGCCGCACGGCGCGAGTCGGGGCGGAATTCCTGCTCCGGCAGCTGGGAACGTCTCTGTGTTAATACCTTGGGTGCTACGGTGGCACACGTCCAAACCTGCGCTCCTGGTGTACATTTTGGCTTTGATGAACGTGCGTCCGATATTGCAATGAGTCAAATATCTTCAGCCCTAACGGCGAATGGCACAACCAACCGAGGTACAGCCAAAAAACGTGCAATGTTCCCATCTCCAGCTCTGGGGTGGAGGGGCATTGAAACCAGTCACTTCACTGTCACCCTTGTAAGCGGTTCCTTCCCCAGGAGAAATTCTCCCGACTACCCGCGCGGAGCTCACCACACACTGCCTGGGCTGCAGGGAGTCGGGTCGCTTTGCAGGGGGGCTTTGTGGGACACAGGAAGTGCTAAGTGGATTCCACAGAGGTTGGGGGAAGCCCATCCACAAAGGCCCCACGCCCGGCGGAGGGGGCATCAGACACGGCCCTCCAAGCTCCGCGCCAGGTCTGCACTTTGCAATTGGCTCTTAAGCAGACAGAGACCTCGTCCCTCCCTGGTCCCCACCCCACAACCTTAGTGTGCTGGGGAAATTCATTCATTCAACGGTGTCTGGTTCCCCCTCTCTCTGCAGCTCCCTGCCGCTGAAGGAGAAGCTGCAGGCCCTCCAGTGCCACTTCACCTGGGACTTTGAAATCAGGGACAAGGTGGACGCCGCTCACATCCTCCATACGGTGGCTCTGAGGATTGCCCACACTCCCTACCCGAACCAGGCCGCCTACCTGGCCCTGCAGGCTTATCTCTGCCACCTGCAAGAGCGATATGAGGATGCTCTGCAAAGCCTTAAGAAAGCTGAAGAGTTCCTGGCCAGAGATCACCCAGGTAACGTCCCCCGCCAGGCCCTGGTCATTTACGGGAACTACGCCTGGATCTACTATCACCTGGCCCATTACGACGTGGTGGAGCGTTACCTGGACCAGGTGAGCCAGATCTGCCGCTCCCTGAACAGCCGCTCGCCATACGCAGCTCTGATCCCTGAGGTCCACGCACACAAAGGCTGGTCTCTCCTGGCAACCGGCTTCCGCAACGGCCAAGAGGCCTCAAAGTGTTTCCAAAGGGCATTGGCAGAAGACGAAGCCAATGGGGAATTTCTTGCTGGGTCGGCAATCGCAGCCTTCGCCTCGTACACTCACTCACGTGATTTTGAATACAAGTCAGATGCCAAAAAGAAGTTGAGCGCCATTATCCAGGAAGAGCCGCAAAACTATGAAGCTAAGATGTATTTAGCCAAGATCCTTCAGAGGTGGGATAGACCCCAGGCAGAAGCCCTGGTCGAAGATGTTGTTCGGAATAGCCGGGACCCCGAGGTCCTGAGAAATGCAGCCAAGTTCTTTCAAGCTGAGTTTCCAGAAAAAGCAATTGCTATTCTAGAGCGAGCAATCTCTCTGGACCCCACTTATCACCTCCTTCACTATGACCTGGGTCGTTGCTACAAACAACAACTGGCGGCGGCCGAGACGGACAGGAGAGAAGAAATCGTAGTAGCGGGTACGGAGGCCTTCAAGATGGCTGTGCAGAAAGATCCCGCCTCTGTGTTTGCAAAGCTGGCGCTAGCTGAAATGCTCGGACAAAAGACACCTGAGTACCAAGAGGAGATTTACCTCAACCTCCTGAGCGAGGTGTCCACCCTCAGCAAGAGGTGCCAGCAGGCCGTCTACCTTCACTGGGGGGACTTTCTCCTCTACACGCGGGAGTCCCTGCCCGAGGCAGCTGAGATTTACAAAGCCGGCTTCGTCATCGCAGGCACCACCCGGGAGAAAGAAACACTGAGAAATAGGCTGCAAGAGGTGGCAGACGTATTCCGGCAGCGCTCCCAGACCACTGAGGCTGCAGCCATACAGCATGTCCTGGAACGGTACGGAAGTCCCTGGTACAAGAAGAAATCCACCCGTGGCCGGAGCAGGAGACTGTCGATGTAGTGAAAATAGAGGAATCCACCAGCAGCGCGGGACTCCTGCATTTGGAGAGGCCCCCTCACACTGCCCCCTGCTCCACCTCAAGGCTCCACCCCTGCTCAGCCTCCTCCCCAGGGCCCCACCCTCACTGCCCCCTGTTTCCCCCCAAGCTCTGCTCCCTCCCACCCCACCTCGCTATTCTGACCTCTCTGCATCCTCCGCTCAGGACCCGCCCTGAGGCCTCAGGGTGGCCCTCAGGAAAGGGGGCAGTGTAGGAGGGGTCGTGGGGGGAGACAAGGCACCAAAGTCAGGCCTCGGTGGGAAAGCGCGGGGGGGGGTCCTCCGCCCGGGCACCCTTTCAGCAGCAGCGATCCAAAGGCAGCACCTGGCCCCGTGTAACGGAGAGGAGATGTTCCTGTGGCCCAGTAACGCTCCCCCTGCTTCCCCTCTGGGTTCCCCGCCCACCCCTCTTCTCTCAGAGCGGGGTCTGTCCCCTGGCCAGCACTGAACTTTCATTCACAGGTAGACACAGGCACTACGTCCTCCGACTCAGACCGTTGTACCCTCCTGCACCCCAGTGTGTTCCCTCTGCACATTTCCCTGTGCACCCTGATGAGGTCCACCTCTGGTTTCGTGCAACCTGCCGGCAGCCAGCAACACAGACAGTTTCCTCTCCGATGCAATACACACACACACACTCACAGGCACACACATGAGAGACTGTCTTCAGCTACAGGGCGAAAGCTGGCCTCAGTTTCCCACGGCTACTGCAGAAGTAAGGAGACATTCCCCCTTTTCTTCAACAATAGCTGAGACTTCACCCTCTCCCTCTGGGGTTTCAGCATCTCCAGCATCCTATGAATGGGAGGACCCACGTAGGCAGCCCCGCTCCACTGCACCGTCTCCTGGGCCGCTGCGCTCGGTTTTCCCATATGGCGGGAAGCCTTGGATGCAAAACTTGGGTCCCAGACCAGCGTGTGGAAAACTACTGACCTGCCAAGATGGAGGCCAGATTAGTGGTTTGGTCACATGTCCTGCGGTGTCTCGGCAGCTGCTGCTTACAGGCTGCCCTCAACGTTCGCTGGAAGTTAAGTTCTTCCACGTGCAGTGTCTTTGCTGATGGGCCATTGCCTCGGTCTGGCTTCTTCCCTGTTGCCCTGGAAAGGCTAGCAGGGGCTCGTCAGCAGGAGTGAAATGCAGAGACACGGCCCTGCCTTTAGATACAGCAACGACACACGCCTCCCACCGGGGCAATCAGCAGCAGCAAGTCTGAACTTTTCCAACGACATGTCACATGACCCGGCTTGCATGAAATGCGTCCGAATTGGGCGATAATTACAATATCACAGTGAAGAATACAGCCTGCAGTGCCACGGAGCGGCTGTGTTTTTATTTCATTTACAATAGCAACACCCGAGACACCAGAATGGAATCTGTCGCATCGGGGTGAGCGGCACACACGGGACCCCCAGAAAAACATCGGGACCGTCGCTAGCAGGGCAGGAATGTCCCAGATTGAGGTGCCTTTGCAAGGGATTGGAACAAATTGAGAAACTGAACAGGAGCAGATGGTAGCACCAAAGAATTCAGAAGGAGCTCAGAGAGGAAACTGCGTTACTGCTAACTGTGGTCTGTCACGTTCCATTTACATCAGGTTCTGTCCCAGAAGATGTGATGCCCGTTGTAGAAAAGGGGCTGCAGAAGTGATTAGCGATAACCCACCCCAGTGCCAAGCAAAGTGGTTGACGCTATAATAAAGAATAGATTTCTCACACAGGAAAGCAACATTTGCTGCTGAAGAGTCAACTTCTACTTAGATTTCCAGAAAGCCTTTGACAAGGTGTGACGGCGCGTTGGGGGTCCCCCGTCTCCTGCACCCCGAAATGGCACAAACAGACTGCACCAGCCGGTGGAATAGAGGAAGTTTATTGCCTCTCCAGGATACAGCACAGCACAGATGTAATCTGGTCACAGAGCTGGGCTAGGATGCCTCAGGCCCCCTTGAGATGGGGGAGACTCGGCCCCTAAACTCCAGCCCCTTCCCTAGGCTGTCTCCTCCATGCTCCCAGACAGCCCCCAGCCAGGGCAGCATTCCACCTTCCTTTGTTCCTCTCCATGGGGGGTGTCTGGCCACTGGTTGCATAGTGACTCATCCTGTTTTGCTGGGTCGTGGTACCCACGGCAGCCAGTGGGGGTTACCCCAGAGCCAGCAGCATAGAAACCAGCCAGGTACCCCCACTACGTCACACAAGGTCCCTCACCAAAGGCTCTTAAGCAAAGGAAACTGTCATGGGATAGGAGGGCAGATCCTCTCCTGGACTGGTATCCGGTTAAAAGACAGGAAACAAAGGGGAGAAATAAATGGTCAGTTTTCAGAGTGGAGCGAGGTATCCAGTGGTGTCCCCCAGGGCTTCCCGAGTCCTATTCAACTTATTGATAAACGATCTGGAGAAAGGGGTAAATTATGAGGTGGCCAAATTTGCAGATGATACAAAGCTGCTCAAGATACTAGTTAAGAACAAAGCAGACTGTGAGGAGCGTCCAAAGGATCTCCTGAAACTCAGTGACTGGGCAGCACAATGACAGATGAAATTCAAAGCCGACAAGTGTGAAGTAGTGCACATTGGAAACCATCATCCCAGCTATCCCTATAACGTGATGGGGGTCTAATTTGGCTGTTCCCACTCAAGAGAGAGATCTTGCAGTCCGTGTGGAGAGTGCTCTGAAAACATCCAGGCTGTGTCTAGACTGGCAAGTTTTTCCACAAAATCAGAGGATTTTGCGGAAAAACTTGCCAGCTGTCTACACTGGCCGCTTGAATTTCCGGAAAAGCACTGACGATCTAATGTAAAATCATCAGTGCTTTTGCGGAAATACTATGCTGCTCCCGTTCGGGCAAAAGTCTTGTTCCGAAAGATTTTTGCGCAAAAGGGCCAGTGTAGACAGCTGAGATTTGTTTTGCGCAAAAAAGCCCCGATTGCGAAAATGGCGATCGGGGCTTTTTTGCAGAAAACCACGTCTAGATTGGCCATGGACGCTTTTCCGCAAAAAGTGATTTTGCGGAAAAGCATCCTGCCAATCTAGATGTGCTTTTCCGAAAATGCTTTTAACGAAAAACTTTTCCATTAAAAGCATTTCCGGAAAATCATGCCAGTGTAGATGTAGCCCGCCTCCATGTGCGGCAGCGGGCAAAAAAGCAAACAACCTTGGGAATCATTAAGGAAGGGACCCATAGGAAAATACCGTATTGCCTCTGGGTAAATCCACGGTGCTGCCACGTCTCGAATACGGGGTGTAGATGTGGTTGCCGCATCTCACCAATGATACACTGGAACTGGAAAAGATTCAGAAGAGGGCAACAAAAATGACGAGGGGTTTGGAACAGCGTGAGGAGAGATGAATAAAACCCTAACCCGGCAGATTCACACAGCGAAGGGGTCCGGGTCCTCATACCAGCTCCCCTACCCTGGATGCCGGCCAGACTCCAGGGCAAAGCCACCCGTGCTTATGATGGGTCAGGGCAGTCACCCCGTGCGTTGGGGGGCCCCAAGGCAGCCTGAGGCATTACCTGGGGGCTCTGGCTAGTCCTCAGCTCTGCCACCTCCCGGCTGGTCACCCACTTCACTGAGGGGGCGGGATGTGGAAAAACCCAGCCTGCTCTGTTTCCCCGAGCCACACCGGGGGAGCCTCCATTCGGATAACGTGGGGTCCCCTTTGGGCGCTGCAGGGACCCAGAGGCGGAGCCGGGACGGAGCCATTTGTCCCCCTGAGGGCTACGGGGCCTGAGGAGCCTGCATGTCGCTCCCCCTTCCACCGGGGCGCCCCCTCATTGAATGGGCAAAGGGGGGTTCGCACGGGCTGTACCTGACTGCGGGGCTGGTGGGGAGAAGCCAGCGCCCTCTGCTGACAGCCTGAGAGAACTCCAGCGCCTGGCCCGTTCCTGCCTCCCGCCCAGTCCCTAAAACCAGCCAGCTTGGGGCTGGCCTATGGGCTATGGGGCAGGAATCGATCCCCCTCCCTCCCGTCCCCCAGCGATCTGTGACAACCAGCCTTTCCTCTCTCGTCCGGCCCACCCCTCTCCTCCTGCTCCCATCTCCACACGGACCCGGGATCCCCCCAGCCGGGACGGAGTGAGCTGTTGTGGAAGCATCAGGGCCCTCCAGCGCCGGGAGCCTGAGCCCGCAGAGCTTCAAGGCTCCATCCGGTTCAGCCTGGGACCTGCCCCCCTGTGACGGACCGGGCCGTGTCTGGGCACAGCTTAGGACGTCCGCTCAGGGCGAATTGCTCAAATCCGGGGCTCTTTACAGTCCCCCTGACTGGCGACCTCTCCAAACAGGCCACAAACCAGTCTCACAGA